CACTCCACGATCCAAAAACGGAACGCGTGGAAGATTCGTCTAGCATTTATCTAGTAGCGTGGAAGTACTCTACGCTGGCTAAATATCTAGAGCGATGTTTCATCATCAACCTAGTATGACTAGAGCGGTCATTGAGAACCCTGTCTCAATGACTATTCACGAGAGACTCAGTCATGAGTCGAACTCAAACCCTATCTAGGATCGAGTCGCGAATAAGGCTAAGAGCCGTGTATTGCAGATAGACACCTTATAAATCAATAGGATTGACAATATTCGGTTGTGTATATATTCATCATAAGGATCCAATACGAGGTACTTGTACCGGAGTGTAGCGAGCAAAGCCGAACTTGAGTGTGTTCGGTACTGTTGCCACTGTCGCCGATGTAACTATACGGCAGCCGGCTACAATGGCTGGATTGACAATATGCAGTTGTGCAGATACTCGTCATAAGGATCCATTACGAGGTACTTGTACCGGAGTGTAGCGAGCAAAGCCGAACCTGAGTGTGTTCGGTACTGTTGCACTGTCGCCGATGTAACTATACGGCAGCCGGCTACAATGGCTGGATTGACAATATTCGGTTGTGCATGTATTCGTCATAAGGATCCAACACGAGGTAACTGAGCTGGAACTAAGGAATCAAGAGACGAACGCTGAAAAAAACCGAATTTCCTGTTTCCTGTTTCCTGTTCCGGTGAAGCCAAAATACAGGGTTAGAGATAGGTGTAAGCCAACAAAACTGGAAATTGAAGGTTCTGCAAATTTAGGGGTAGGAATAAATCATGATAGTTCAAGGTTAGTGCACTCAACACAATAAGCCAGCAGAAGCTACAAAAGTTACGGGTACATACGGGAGTGACAGCTGTAAAATTATGATTAGCGGGCGGCAACACAGGACAAAGTCGGGTATTTGATGCCTTCGACGTGCAGAGTGAAGAGGGCCTTGAGGAGTCAACCCGCTGCAACGATAGCCTCACTAGCTTTAATGACTGACGTGACGAGAATCTTCAATCCAATCCGAAAGATCTGCCAAAATTGATGCGACAATGAGGATTGATTGATTCCCTCTCAAAACCCCGGTCTTTCTTTTTCCTTGACGAGTAAAATAGCATCGGCAAAACGGTTTCAAGGCCCTCCGAGAAGAAATAGTTTCATAGTGAGGTGCTAGCTAGCAACCCTCAGTGCTGGCAGAGAAGCGAGATTGAGCGAAGGTTGGTGATCATCGGAGAAATTTGGAGAAAGGCCTAAGTTTGGTGGTCGTTCCACCTCAGTGTACCGGTACCTCACTTTCTTTTCTTGAACCTGTTTTCTAAAGGAAGCTTCCAGATTTAGATACTCTCTATTTTCATACCGTAGTAGAGGACGAGCACCATGTTTGCTGCTTTGTTCAAGCGAGCTGCCGGCTCACGCCGCCGACTGCCATCGTTTGCATCTTCCATTGGCGTCAAGAGACATCAGCAGTTTACAGTGGCAGCCTTGTCGGTGGCCTCGCCTTTGGATGAACGTACTGGATCGGCGGCTAGCGTGGCAGCAGCACTGGCTGGTCTCGCCGTTGTAATGGCTGCTGGCACCGTTACTACAAAATGCGAGAAATCGTCAGAATTGACCCCTGCCTCTGTGGGGGCAGAAGACTTTGACGAGGTTCAAGCTTCCCACGATATTGAGAAAATGCCCGTCTATACATCGGATCAAGTGGCTGAAAACAATGGTGAAGATGGCAAACCAATTTGGATGTCTTATGGAGGTGTGGTGTACGATGTTACCAAGTTTATTGCCAACCACCCGGGTGGAAGTGAAAAAATTCTGACCGCTGCAGGATCGGTAAGACACAAAATAAACGATTACGTAGACTGCCATACTGTGTTGGATGATTTGCTTGATTTTCTCACTCATTTCAACATCACAACTCTCAGGCGATTGAACCATTTTGGCACATTTACCGACAACATTTTGCCTCTGATCTGCCCATTCGACTCATGGAACACATGGCCATCGGACGATTGCTAGAAAAAGATCAAGACGAGATTGAAGAACAAATGACGGCACTGCAGGAGTCTAGTGAAGACCCGTATGAAAGGGAACCCGAAAGGGATTCCCGACTCATTGTCCATTCCGATGCCCCCATGAACGCGGAGTGCCCGGGCTACCTACTCACGGAAAGCTACCTGACGCCTCCCAATTTGTTTTACATTCGTCATCACCATCCTGTGCCTTACTTGACAGAATCCCAGCTCGACAACTTTCGATTGGAAATCGATGTCTCGGCCTATGATCAACGGGGGCGGGTCCTTACCTTGACGTTGGATGATTTGAAAAGACTCAAGAAGACGGAAGTTACCACCACACTTCAGTGCAGCGGTAATCGCCGTAGTGGATTCAATGACTTTCGAAGGACATCGGGAACAACCTGGGGACAAGGTGCAATTTCGACAGCGCGTTGGGGTGGAGTCCGACTCAAGGATCTTCTCCAGCTGGCGGGTATTGACGATCCTATCCATGCTCAGGAAGTATGGGGTATGGATCATGTCCGTTTCACTGGATTAGATGGAATGATGGCATCGATTCACATTGAAAAGGCAGCCAATCCTTATGGCGATGTCATTGTTTGCTACGAAATGAACGGAGAACCGCTTCCACGCGACCATGGAGGCCCTTTGCGTGTCATTGTTCCAGGGTACTCGGCAGTTCGCAACGTCAAATGGGTGCAACGCATAGAAGTGGCTCCCACCGAAGCTGAAGGGCCCTGGCAACGTGGACTCAACTACAAGACCTTGCCACCAGGTGTAATGGACGCCAATGATGTCAAAATTGAGCAAATGCCGTCCATGACCGAATCGAGTCTATTCTCTGGAATCACCAAATTGTCCACAGACACCCTTTCAAAACCCATCAAACCTGGGGATACTATTTTGGTGAATGCCACTGGCTGGGCATGGGCCGGTGGTGGCCGCAATGTTGTTAGAGTGGACTTGACCAGTGACAATGGAAATACATGGAACACGGCAACTCTCAAGGAAGGGTCCACACAACGTTTCGGACGTGCGTGGGCATGGACGTTTTGGGAGTGCAAAGATATTCCTTGTAAGGTTGCCGAGGATGGAACGATTGAACTGGCATCCAAGGCTGTTGATATGGCCTTCAATAGTCAACCCGAAAGCAGCGATCACTCATGGAATGTACGGGGTCTCGGCAACAATTCATGGTTCAAGGTCCAAGAAAAGGTCTGCTAGACCCATACGAAGAAACAGGCCGTCGAAGAGGCCACTTTTTGTTGCTAGTAATGCATCTGCTTTAGCACCCTTTTGTCCATCTCGCAACAACGGTGCCGTGATCCTCGATCCTTCGGGAGACTCCTGTCGACAGTGTAGAATGGCACCATAACACAAGGAAGTCTGGCGGCGTTCATTTTTGGATCACATGCAACGTCGCAAAAGAAAGTAGTTATACAAAGCGTTATAGAATCAAAAGAAAAGACCTTCGTTGAGTGCAGAAATATGGCTGAGAAACTGAAAGAGAAGACGACAAGGACTGGTTCGAGGTGCGCCACAGTCCTTGTAGACATTCGCGGTTTATTGACTGAGCGTTGTCTCGTCTAATCCAGTTTGAATTCCGTGCTTTTGAACCCTTGACTCTTCAGCTCCGCCATGAAATGGTCTTCTTCGGTTTCTTTCCTATACAAGGCAGTACCAATAAAGCGCAAGATGACTTGCGCTACGATGCCAACGAGTCCAGTGAATGCAATGAAACTTGGGTCCGTCTGATACAGGCTCAAGGTCGCCATGAAAGCCACAAGTCCAACCCGTGCCAACAAAAGCGGAACGCTGAGAAGCTTTTTCCACTTGGAATGTTCGCACTCCTGGCACCGATCCATGTGCTCCTTGATGCCTTTGTGCACCAATATCAACATGTCGCAAAGGAACCATATTGTTGCCATGCTCCCACAAAAGAAATTTGCAATGCGTTGCTCCCGGTCGTCTGCATCGAAACGTAGGGCGCCCCCACCGCCACCTGCCAGTAACCGCTGCAGCTTGGCTCCCAAAGCAGGCAGCAGCATTCGATGATAGCCATTGTCCTCCTCCTCTTCATACCCGGCTGCTTTGGCATACTCCGCTCGATACACAAATTCATACAACATCATTTTGTAGCTTGCCCCCAAAATGATTAGCGCGCCAGAGTAAATTTGCACCATCACCACGAAAAGGTAGCCTCTCTCTTTCTTTCTGCGAATTGCGTGGTCGTCTGCATGGTGTGGTTGTGATTGGAAATGCATGAATTGCAGCAGTGAAATGGATATAATACCACAGTAGAATGTCTTGTAACTGTGTACATGTTGTGTAGTGATGGAACCAATTTCGGTAAGCAACAGCAAGCGATATCAAAGCAACGAGAGTCGATAAGGAAACCAAGACTCACTAATTGTAGTCCTGTTGCGCCCCCACAATCAGCAAGCTCAGCACACTTTCGCCAAGCATCAACATGATCCATTCTGAAGGAGGGGAGAAACAATGAGGGGTTGATTGTGGGACAGGCCTTTCCGAGGGATCGATCCACGCTTACCTCCATATCGATGGATGGCATAATCCACGTTCATGGGAACAGTGACCCTTGGTTTTTGAATGGTTGTACATGAGAGGATGCTCGTGCACAATAACGAAAGAATCTGCGACGAAAACCGTCTTACCTTGTGTGGTCGCCACCCGAGACACGAGGAATAACGAAGGTCAACAAGATCACCGTGAGCAGATGATTCGCCAGGTAACCTGCCACGAGCAGTTCCATGGATACATCACCACTGTAGGTGCTTTCCTTTTCTTCACCATACGAAGAATCACCCGCCAAGAAGCGAAAATGATGGCCATCCTCCTCTCCATGGTATTCCGTACTGGAATCTGTATAATTGTTGTTGTAATAGTCGCTCGAGTTGCCACTATCATAGTGAGAATCCTCGTAGCCATAAGAATTGTCACTCCCATGGTAGTCATGATCATTGGAATAATACTTGACACCGGCGTAAATGGCTGCTGCAGCTTGTACGGCTGCAATGATTCCCAGTTGGGTAGCATCTCGTTTGGAAGCCACTCGCGCGCCGGTGGACTCGACACCTCCTTCAATCATCCAAATCACTTCAAGCGATCGTCCAATCAATAGCAACATGGCAATCAAGAGGGAGCAACAAAAAATAAATAGATCATTGTGTTCTTCCGGATGGGAGAGAATGGCGACGGGTCGGCAATACAAGACGGCCGTTCCCAAGACGACCAGCGTGCACATTTCATAAAAGTTGTGGAACATGTCATTGTTGGGTACAAAGAATCTGGAATCGAAAAACATTTTGTATTGCCATAGATTCTGGAGGGAAGAGAATGCCGCCACAAAGTAGCACAGCCCTCGAAATGTGGGTTCTTCTTTCAACATGTTCCCCAAATTGTAGGCTCTGCGATATAATAAAATTAGTCGCAAGAGAAGCAGATTGTTGTGGATGCATGGATGCAGTGGGAAATGAAGAAGAAGAGAGCAGATCCAAACGCCAAGTGTGAAATAAAGCAAGCATGAGCAGGTGATCTCGGCAACATCCCTCAGAACTGCATCATTATTTCTCGAAGAAAACTCACCCAGCCACATAGAACAAATCAAAGAAGATGTCTCCCCATTCTTTATGTGGAGTGACCTGTAATAAGGTGTGAAAAGGATATAAAAACGGGGGTGAGCGAGAATACAGAAACATCAGCATTCGCTTGATTGATAACGGTGAATACTGAGACTACTTACTTGAACATCTCCCCAATGTTGACGCTGAAGCGGCCGAGTATATAACGGCATGGGAGGTTGAATCTGCTTCATTTGTTCTTCAATCACCGTTCTCATGCTCGTCAGCGTGTCGCTGGCATCCATCAAGTTCTTGGTAAAGGTGCCACGCTCCTCGTAGGTTTCTTCCTCCTTTTCCTCCTCATCACTGCTCGTTCGAGGCACTGTCGCTCCTGTATGATCTGCCATTTCCTCCTTGCGACTGTTGTTGATTGTCATGATATCGTGCCATTCAATTATTTGTACTAGCTAGTAGTCTCTCCTTGGGAAAGCAAGCTATGCAAGCCACTATGGTTCATGTCTCGTGGAGACGGTGGCACTCTCCCTTTCCCCTTTCGCCTCTCAAGTTTGAAGCTCTTCAATCGCGTCACGAACTCCAAAGAACAGTCTCCACGACATCTGGTACCGGTACCAGTACAAATAGCCAGCAAGTCTGCAATCTAAAATCCTTTCCTTCTCGCTGTACCCCAAAACCTGAGTTTTCATGTACTTGTACCGGTATCTGAGATTGCCGGTGATGGTATGGTAGGTTTTACATACGGTAGAGACAATCACACACCACCATGAAGACACCTCCAGAGACAAAGTCGGCGGCTTGGGAAGATGTCCTGGCATCTGATTGGTTTCTTGCATCTGCAAGATCCTTCTTTTCCTTTGCAGACTGGCACTATCTGAGTTCCACCAGCAAAAAGTGCCGCAACAACGTACATGCTTGGGTTCTCTCCTGGCGAAAGTGTGCCAAAGGTCTTTTTTGCGCTTGTCGTCAACTGCAACCCCCCAGGTTGCTGGTCTTTGGATTGTACAACTGTGAACATGAAGACCTCCCCATGGGTGATGCTGAGCAGCTATTTCCTAACCCAAGCCCAATTCTACAGTTTTCATTTGCTTCAATGACATTTGATGCGTCCAAAGCAGCAATATTACAGTAGGGGCATGGAGTCTACTTTCTATTTCCAATGGAGTGCCCGACAATTTGGGGCGTCGTTCCCCGAATGTTTGTGCGGTGGATGATAAAGGGTCCAAAAAATTTTATTGTGGTGGCAACCAATTTGCTGCGAAGAATCAAGGACGATGGATCAGGGCAGATGACATGAACGGTAACTGCTCTTCGTCTACAGCCATCTTTGATGTAAAGACTTCTTCTTGGAAAAGTCTAGCCCCCATGCCAGAGTGTGTCTGTAATGCTGGAATCTGTAGACTTGGGTCCCATGTCTACATTATTGGTGGTGAGAGAGGATCATATAGATACAACCAGGAAGTCCTCTGTTTTGACCTAGAAACAGAAAAATGGATGCCTTCTGGCATTCCCGATTTCCCTGGTCGTGCATATGGTGGTTATGCTACTATTGCCTCAAGCAATCATACTATTTTGCTTGCTGGTGGTGTCATGATAACTCACTGGAATTTTCGGCATGGTCCAAGGATTGGTCCCTGTCGTGAAGTTTTCTCGTTGGATGTCACCTCTTGTATTTGGACAAGAGTGGCAGATTTACCCGAGAGTGACTTTGCTGCAAACAAATGCACTGGTTTCTTGCAGCAGAGTGCCAACAATGATACATCCTGTGTTGTTGTCTCTGGGAAGCAGACTGTACAGTTGCTTCCGTCAGGTCAATGGGATGCTCTGCCAAGTTTCAGAAAAGGTGCAGGGTGTGTGGCATCCTTTGGAAATACAATTGTGTCATTCCAGAGGTCCCTCAAAGAACTTGTGCTACTTGAAGATGGATTGCACCTTTCTCTTCCAGTACAATGCAGTGATTTCCTTCCAAACACACTGGAGATTGTGGTATATTTGAGCATCTTTGACATGGTTGTGCCAGTCTACAAGTAACCAAGTTGGTCTTTCCGTCAAAATGGAGGCTTCTTTTATGCTCAAGCTTTTTGCGAGGCAGCAAGGCATGTGTGTGTGATCTTGTTTGTCCGTAGGCAAAAAGCCAGAGCATGTACATGGTTGCTGCAAAACAAGTTTGGACGTGAGCATTATTAGCTGATGTTGTCTTCGATGTCGCTGCCTTCGTCACAAGCTATCTAGAGACAAAACATTTTGTGCGGTGGTACGTTGTAGTTTAGCATCGGTCCAGTTTGCTATCGATATTCACAGCACTAGCAAGATAAGCAGGATCCCTCACTATTTTATGGGGCTGAAACACAATCTTTCCAAGTAGTGCAAAGAACGTTTGTCGAAACATTTCTCAATGTGAGCTTGCTTCTAAAATACAGTAGTCGCATTTTCATCTGCCCGTTGAGTCTCACGCATCTCATGACATAAAGCTGATTATATGAATACTGAAAATGTGGAATGCGCCGAGAAAACTCCACAACATACATGTAACAGCAGGTCACAATGTTTGGGCATGATTGAGTTCGTTTCACTTCTTTTTGAGGCCTGCAAGTAGCCACAACAAAACAGGTCACCGCGTCGCGACAATGAACAGCGACTTTCGAAATCGATTCCAGTTGTTGCTGTCTTTGGGCGCGGTCAAGTGTTGTTGGTTAGTCAGACCAGAGTCTACTACGCGCACCTCTTGAGTATCCTGGATTGTCGCTGCCAGAGCTCTGCAATACCGCGGCAGTGGGGTTTCCTCCTCGTGTTGTTGTTGATGATCCTTCATTAATGGTGCCATATCCAACATTACCGTGGGTGGTTTTGGTACGATCACCAGGGGGTCCGATTCGGTGCAATCCATCTTGAGGTGTCCCATCTTGCCACATTTCCAACACGGTAGAGTTTGCAACATGGCGTTTTGGACTATAACATTCCATTCTTGTTCCGTGGCCGCGCGTTTTTGGCGTTCGGGACAATCCCGCACGTGATGTTGCTGCTGGCAGACATAGCAATTATGGGCCTGTCGTCCTCGCTGCTTTGCATTCACACGTTGCTGCGCGGCGGCGAGTCGAGCATGGCGCTGCAACGGTCCTTCGTAGAGTGTAATGGGCAATTGTTGTTGGTGTCGTGGAAGACAGCACGGTGCCAAGCACAGGTAGGGAGCCTTATCGGGTCCCAAGGAATTGACAATTCCAATCAATCTCGGACTGAGAGTCTTGCACAAGTGGATTCCCGTAATGGCCAAAAGCATTGGGTTGTTGTTTGGATTGTGACTCTCATCATTAGAGGCAGCAGCCGACGATGCCAATAATTGTTCCACCATGACGTCCTGTTCGTGCAGATTGATCCCTGACCAGAGTTCCATGAATGGTCTGCCAGTGTGTGTGTTTTGGTTGTTTGCCGCCTGGATGTGTCCCCAATCAATATTTCGATCTTTGTCGAATAAAATAATGCGCGTCAATCCGGGAAAGTACAGAGGTGCCATGTAGCTGAGCAACGTGCTAAAGATACCTTTTCCACAGCACGCATCCACGGCAATAAATGGTTGTTGCTCCTTCTCTTCTTTCCTCCAGTCATGTAGATGGTTCAGTGCGACCACGCTTTCTTCGACTTCCTGCTTCAGATTGGCCTTGTTCAAGAGCGATCGCCATTCAGAATCTCCCGAGTACTCGTCCGACCACTGATCCAAGACGTTCAGGACAGCCTCTCTCAATCCAATGTTACTATTGGCGTCTACTGGTAGATCATTTCGCAGAGCTGGAATGGTTTTGTGTATTTGCCAGTGGTGGCCATTATTATTTCCTTGTTGTTGAAGAAGAAGACTGCTACTAGTACCGGTACTGCTCAAGGCAAAAGCACCAACAATGTTAGACAAGCCCCAAAGACGTGTACAGCAAGTCGTCCCATAAAACATAGTGTTTCTCGAGATATCGATGACAACAGCATGATCTTCCTCTTTCTGAATTGTAGGAGTGTGTCGGTTGTCCTTCGACCTTCGGATGGAGTTCCACGGCTTCAATGATGGATCCACTTTTGACACCACTGACGTCACCAATGAGAAAAAGATCTCAGAAAGACCAATTTTTGTGCTTCCATGCTTTCTACCCAATGTACCGCACCAGGTGCATCCTTGTTGCAGCTTCCATGTATCATCGCAATCATTGTGCCATACATGCATAAGCAAGAGCACTCTTCATCAAAGTAGATTACTAACAAATTGACAATGGGTAAACGCCGCAAGAACAAGGGAGGCAGTCCACAAAAGTCACCGCAAAAGCAAAGTCCACAAAAAGGAGCCCAGCAATCGACTGCCTCCAATACAACCCCTCCCACCTCCAACACGACGAATGCCGCCTCTTCGATCCACAATCGACGCCGAACCCCATTATCTGCCTCTTCCACCAAGGGCTTGGGAAGCAGGGCACTGATAATCGTGGCCTGTCTGGGATACTTTGCTCAAAAGCAACTGGCGCCGTATTTTCTACCCTACGGCCCGGCCGTCAACATGCAAGAGGGACCCCCTCGTTTCCAACCAGTCGATCCCTCCAATGACAAACTCCGGGGGAAGCATGGCAAACTGACCAAAATTTACGAACGATTGGAACATGATGTTGGCGACGATGACACGGAACCACTCTTACTCCAAGGCCCCGAAACGGTGCTCTTTCATCCCAAATCGGGAACCATGTACGTGCTCACGCAAGATGCCCTACTGGTCAGTCTGACGGATCTAAAACCGCACAACAGCAATAATGAGGATGATGGCGCCACGACGAAAATAGTGACGGCCAAGACCACCAAAGTGGCCAATCTGGGTACCGGCCGACCCATGGGAGCGCGATTCACATCCGATGGGAAAACACTCTACATTGCCGATGCTCTACTCGGTCTGCTGCGCATTGTCAATCCACACGACTATCCCAAATCCAAAGTCGAAATTGTTGCCAATCAAGTCACGGACGGCAATAACACAACCAAGATACTGCATGCCAACGACGTCATTATTGGACCTCGAAGTGGAAAAGTGTACTTTACGGATTGTACGTACTGTATGAAAAACTCTTTCGTTATTTTGCACTATCCTTCCTCTTCTCACTATCGTTGCATTTGCTGCGCTTGATTGATCTACAGCTTCCGATATTGGGCCCGAACGCATGGGGACACAACAAAGCTGGGACACCATGTATGCTGCCACCATGGACTGGGCGCGTGGCAAACCAACCGGACGGTTGCTCGAATACAACCCCAAAAACAATCAACTCAAGGTTCTGGCAACAGGCTTGTGGTTCTCCAATGGTTTGGGCATTGATCGAGATGAATCTTCCATCATGGTAGCAGAGACATTTGCTGGACGAGTAGTCCGGTATCATTTAAAGGGTTCCAAAGTGGGTACTGTAGAGACTTTGGTAGACAGCACGGACCTGCCCGGGTTTGTGGATGGGCTAGACTGTGGACCGGACAAGCATTCCAAGTGCTATGCAACCGTGCCGTCGGCTGCGGGTCGGTTCACAGAGCTTCACAGAATATGGCGCAATCTGGTCTTGCTATGGCCCCGATGGGCATTTGCACGAAACGGTGGCAGCCCGTATGGTGGTGTGGTGGAAGTGGATCCCAAGACCCAGCAGATTCAATACTTTCAAGATCCCAATGGGGCGGATATAGCTCATGTGACTGGTGTCACGGTCTGGAAAAACAAACTCTACCTTGGGTCCTCGAAGAACAACTTTATTGGGGCGTATGATTTAAAGAAGTAATACGATCATAACGATATGATTAGAAAAATAAACTATTCTATCAAAGACCAGACCAGAACAGAAAGGAAGCTTCTTAGTTTTGATGCTTGACTCTGGCTAACTTAAGCCCTCCTTTTGCTTCTCTCCGTGTAGGTACGGTACAAATGGATGCTGGCACCGTACCGGTATCGCTCTTCGCAACATTGGCACAGCAACCCCATCCTAGAAATGGCCCAACAGCAACAGGGAGAATCTCCGGTTGAAAAACTGCAATTGTAAACCAAAAAGCCACGTTTTGGATTCACAAGCAAGATTCCAAGCCCAACCAACCACACACCTTTTAACTTTCCTTGACCTCCTCGTATGCCCACTTCAGCCAAGGCATGAGAGCCTCCACGTCTGCCTTCTCGACAGTGGATCCGCACCAGATTCTTATGGAAGGAGGAGCATCACGGTATCCTCCAATATCGTAAGCGACATCCTCTTTCTCCAAGAGTGCAACAAATGCTTTGATTTGATCCGCAGTCAAGTCGAGAGTAAGGCATACAGAAGTCGACGAGCGAATTGCGGGGTCCTTGGCCAAGAAATCTATCCAATCATTTTCAGCCACAAAAGATTCGACAACCGCCAGATTCTCTTCACTGAGCTTGATCAATGCTGGCACTCCCCCAATGGAATCGGCCCACTGGAGGGCGTCAATGTAGTCTTCAACGCAAAGCATTGAAGGTGTGTTGATGGTCGCCCCCTTGAAGATTGCACCGTCGACCTTGCCCTTTTTGACCATTCGAAAGATTTTGGGCAATGGTCTGTTTTCCGGAGTGTACGATTCGAGGCGCTCGACAGCTTTGGGGCTCAAAATCATGACACCATGGGCACCCTCACCACCCAAAACCTTTTGCCAGGAGTAGGTTGTGACGTCTAGTTTCTCCCATGGCATATTCATGGCAAAACAGGCAGATGTAGCATCGCACAGAGTGATACCAGTGCGATCATCCGAGATAAAATCGCAGCCCTCTGCGACGCGGACGCCAGAAGTGGTACCATTGAACGTAAAGCAAATATCATTGTCGGGATTTGTTTTGCTGAGGTCGGGAAGTTCGCCATATTCCGCAGTGTGCTCATTCACTTCAATGCCATTCTCCCTCAACTTCAAATGGCTCACGGCATCGCCAAACCACCCCTTTCCAAAGGACTCCCAGTGGCAAATGTCCACATTACGGGCACCCAGCATGTTCCACATGGCCATTTCATAGGCACCAGTGTCCGATGCAGGGACAATGCCAACCAGGTAGTCCTCTGGGACACCCAAAAGACGCTTGGTCTCGTCAATGGCCAAGGCCAGGCGCTCTTTTCCTAGCTTGGAACGGTGTGACCTACCAGCCACACGAGAATCCAAGGTGGAAACATCGTATCCGGGTCGCTTTTTGCAAGGGCCTGACGAAAACTCTGGGTTTACGGGCTGCAGGGCAAATGAAAGGGGGGGGGATGTCAGATAATCAATATACTTGAAGCCAATACCAGGATAGCAAAATTTCTAAATAATATCACCTTTGGGCCAGGGGCAGCAGACATCATTCGCATGGAAGAGACGCCAAATTGAGGCAACCTTGGCACTCGACTAATCCGAGACACTCGGGCAAAGGCCAAAGGAACAGCGCGCATAGTTAGAGGATTCATGCTGGTACTGTAGTTCTAGCTAGCTAGTAGGCAATAGATAAGAAAGGACAAGATAGATGGATTTGTTGAAGTGGAGAGGAAACAAATACTTCCCACAAATTGTTTTGGCATAAGAGGTTTGATGATAAAGATCCTTTCCGACCCATCAATGTTGGCGGATCACTCCGTCCAGTCAGTGACGCCACAAGAATGAGTGGTGGTGGTCTTCCAGACCGCCACCACCCATTATTTGCACAAGAAGATCATCGACGCGATCATCCAATCAACTCGGCTGACTTTTTATTCTACTGTGCGTCGCGCGGTGGTCTGGGTAAAATGCAAAGAGATGGGAACATGGGAACCTCCACTCCCGTGATGTTCTGGAGTGGGGCGAGTCTTGAGTAATTTCGGGTCCCAGATGGATGAGGTCCAAAATGGCACTTCCGCAAGGTACATGAGGTAACGATAGGGTTAAAGGTATAAGTTGAACTTAATTAATAAATATAGCACGTTTACCACATCTACCTCCACAATCTGTTTCAGCGTACTAGTACACTAGTACGGTGGTTGAAATGAAGTAAGTAAGTGAAGTCAATCAAACGTGGGACCGGGACTGCCGGGCCTGGTTTGTATGGCACGTCCCAAACGTGCAACCTTGAGGAATGTTGCTTGGACGCAATGCGATCGATGGTACCATCCAATTCGGTCGGAGACTTGGAAGAATGCGAAGAGGCCTTGCCAAACCTACCAAGTACCGGTAGTAACCATACAACGACCATACTTGTACCACCTTGTTTCGACAACTGGCGCAACAACAGATTGTGTCATTGAGTGTCTCGAAAATGGATTGTCTGCTTCATCAATCAATCAATCATAAAAAGCAGCAACGATCAAGCCGACCCCACAAGACAAACTCTATATTACAATGGCAACAGCAGCTACTATCAGTGTCGCATTCCATCATGATGCCATCACAAAACCAACCGGCCTTGCGTCGGGTACCCACGCTACCATGACGGCAACTATTATCACCAGCAACAACAATAAACGTACCATGGAATGCTATGAGGATCTTTCGAACCGGAACAAGAAGCGATGCAAAATGATTGCCAAGAAACGCGTCCATTTTTCGGACTTTGACGAGGACGATACCCCCCGCGAACAAGTCCACATCGTCCCCCGTGTCAGCGCCGAGGATGCCCCTGCCGTTTGGTACACACTCCGAGAAATGCAACAAGGACGTCAGCAAGATTCCCATTGGCTCAAGTTTTTCTCCTGCTACAAACAACCCCGAGACGCCTACAAGCAACAACTCTTCCAGGTGTTGGGAACCGCCTGTGGTGCCGTGCCCGAGGACATGCGCGTCAATGCCGAACTCGCCAACAGCCCCGTGAGGGGTCTGGAACGGGAAATGGCTCCCTGCTTTCGTCAGCGCAAAAGACAAGTCATTGCCAATGTCCTCGAGAGCCAACGGGCGCTCCGGGAATGGCACCAAAGCAACAACAACACGGACAACAAGGACATGATTGACATGAAAGGAGCCGAACTCATGGCGGCCCACTACCAAAAATTGACTCTTCCGGCTGTGCGATTTGCCCAATTGTTGGCACAAGGGGATGCTCAGGTTGCACAACGCTTGGACAATCAGCATTAGACCCATCTTGACATACGGCTGCGCCTCTCGCTCCGAGGTGGCTGCGCCTCCACACTTTACCAGACCAGACAGCAACACGACTCTTTCTCGCCTCCTCGTCCTTCCTCGAAACACACATACACAGCATGCCAAGTCTGATTTTGGAACACACACTGTATTTACTTTCAAGCTTCTGTCTTACTAGCTACATGTAGCACTAATGAACAAAAACCAATGTAAATACCCCAATCCACATCCAAACCGCCGTACTACAGCTCGAAATAGCATTTGGTGCTCATCTTTGTGGCCATCGGTTCTGCCCTTGGTGGGGTCACCTTCGCGGCGAGGGTCTGTAGTGCTTGGTATCTGCTGGTTTATCGTGCTCAATAAAGATTCGGACGCGAAAAAGAATACTTGTGGCTGCCGCAGAAAGGACAGGGTCTGCCTCACGGGCCGTTGTCTGGTCATCAAGCACCAGAGCAGACTATAGCAACCATAGCAAAGATCAAGTGAGAAAGAAGAAAGCAACGAGTAGCAATCCAAGGATCGGCTCGACTGGGATCAGACGTAGCGATTCATTATTGTCTTCATTCTTTGATAAGCAATATTATAACAATAGTCTTCCCTTCCCTGAAGCAAAATCTTGCAGCAGACACTGATGCCCCATCTCAGAAACCTACCTCAAATATATGATATGCTGATCCTCCTATTCAATTTCTCGTTTCGGCGTCTTTGGTGCCATCTGATGTTGAACCTTCTCTGGAATGCAAACAGATTCCAACTCCTGTCATGACCAATGCCGATCCAGCCACGGCGCGAAGGGGCCGATCCACTCGTTCTCCCAACGCAAAGCTCGTGGCCATAGAGAATACCAGTGCCAGAGCATTGCAGACGGGAACGGCAAGAGTCAAGTCGGATCGAGACAGTGCCACATAAAACAGAACAGAACCAAACTGATTCATGGCATAGGGCAACCACACACGGACATTGATAAACTTTTTGGCCGAAGCTTGGAGTGTATCGAGCAAGGAATGGTCGTTGGTAGAAGCGGCTTCCTCTTTTATTGACCCAGCATCAGACGCTCCTTTTCTCAGCAGCGGATTGGTGCACCCCCAAAAGGCCCCAACAAGGATCAAGAGAACCACATCCAATAGCTCCATCCTATTCTATCTCTCATCAAGATCAGTTAGTTAGTTAGTTTGAGGTCAAGGAAAAAAGCCAAGCAAGAAGTGAAATGGTGTCATGGTCATGGCGTCAAGTGTTTTGGTGGTTTGTGGTTTGCCGTTTCTTTTTTGCGATCTCAGTAGGGTTAAGGTGCTTGTATCCGAAAACGCCCAAACACCCTAAGCACAAAAGCAACCGGGAAGAGGCAAGAGAGGTGTTCGACCATTTGAACATTGAAGAGATGAGTGGGACGAATAATGTAGATGGCGATGATGACAGCTCTCGCCTGCTATTACTCTTGACGGATATTTTAGGAGACTTGAAGATTGTAAACAACAAGAGCAAGTCTCTGTGGACCCCCGAATCCGTGCGAGCACTGGTCGTCCAAGATGGCGACAAAGGGGGCATGTTTCTCGTGTTGCAGTTGCTCAATATAGTGGACACGCGCCGTCGAAAACCCAGAGTATCCTCCTGGGAGGATATCCGCCTCAAATACGCGGCACTATGGCCTCCCTTTGTGTCGGCAGAGAATCTCTCGGAGGAACCCATTGTTTCCAAGTTGGAAGTCTTGGTCTTTGCCGCGAGTGCCGTCCAAAGAAAGGCCTTGAGAGACGCCAAGACAGGAGACGACGGCAAAAAGAGATCCCCGAAAAAGGAAGAGAACGAGGAGAAGCAAGAGACAGAATCAGCAAAAGCAGTAGAAACAACCTCGAGTACTGGAGGATCGATGGTAGACTTGCCGATTTCACTGCCTTCCCACTTCACGGAAGAACAACAGGCATGGATTCGTGAATGCTACGAAGGATTCCGAGCCGATTACAATCAGAGAAGAAGGGGGATGCAACAACGATTGGATATCATGGCCTGCAACTTTCTAGCCGACAACAAGGACGATCCAGAAATGGTAGACGTCCGGCAAAAAGTACAGAGCCTATCACTATCGTCTCCGCTTACAACGGATCTGAATCAGCAAGATTTGCACAAGCACTTTACCACGCCTCATTCCTTTCAAGTGGACAAAAGCACTGCGGAGGCTCTCAAAAAGGCGACGCGGGTAGACACTCGAACTGCCGTGGATCGAGGAGGGAGAACGGACGGTTCCAACTCTAGATCCACCATGCCGAAATGGGTCGATAAGGATAGTTAAGTTAGCTTTTAGTACCTCGCAATGTCGGCACGTTGAACGTAGGTTGTGTCATACGGTACGGTGTAAACCAATATCAAATGTGATGAGCTAGCTGGTATCCTTTGCCACTGATAATACCGGTGGCACCACAGGGACAGCTGGTTTCCACTGTTGTACCAGAACCAAAAGTCTAATATGCTGAAGTCAAGTACTTCGATTTCACAACCTGTGAACTCATGCCTGAGTCTTATCACCAGTCCTCTTCGTTTGTATTCCTAGCTGGATACCGGTAGATGAATGACCTCTCTTCTTGCCGGTAAAACACCATGATTTGTTTCCAAACCAGCAGCATCTGCGCTCGTGATGTACTTGCACGGCGACCGTGGCTTTGCGACAGCCTCAAAGCGAGTCGAAACCCCTACAACATGCAACGAACCCATGGTCTACACGTACGCTGCCACCTTCAAAGGAACCAAAAGTATAGCGAGTCTGGAAGTTGCTCGTTGAAAGCGTACCCTACCGGGTTCTCTCGTATCCGTGCCAACATACCATAAATGAGACAAATCACAAGTAGGACGCACCAAGGACACAAGGAGGCAAACAAGCTTTCACAGAGATAAGTTTTCTTCTCCCTGAAACGACAATTGGAAGGACGATGGATTGCGCAGGGGAAATCGGAGGTTGATTTTACGCTTCCAAAATGATTATTAATGAGGTAAACAAAAAACGAAAAGGACATCACAGAAACTCTCAAATCCATCCATCCATCCATCCATCAATGAATCAATCAATCATACAGGCATGGTGACTGGCATCAACTCGAATGAAAACTGCTGATTGTGTGTCCCTCTTTTTATTGAGTTGTGTAGCTCACTTCTTCATTCCTAGCTTCCACTTGGCAAGAGCCTCTAATCCTGCATCACTGACAGAGTCCCCTGACACTTTCAAAACTTCTTGGCATTCGACCATTGCAGGTGCCACAACTTCTTCAAAAACAACCAACTCCTGCTCATGGGCGGCAGCAGCCTGTTACAGTAGCATCCGGAAGCAAATGAAGTGCGTCATCGAGAGCATCAAGTAAGTGTGAGACAACAGAAAACATCCAACAAAACAACGCCCCAACAGTCCCCTCAATTATCATGACTCCATCTTTCCAGGAAAACTCCATCCAGAAAAACACAACCTTTCCGAGGAAATCAGGACATGACATCTCATCCGGCTGGACTATACAAGGACCCCCGTCAAAGCCTAACTTAACTCCATCAACAATAAGTAACCACACACAGATAGATAAGACCCACCTTCTCTGCCTTCTTGTTCTCCAGAAACTTCTGCTCTTGTTCCCGGACGTACCGGGCTTCCTCGACAGACTCCTATACGGAGGATAACAGTAGAATGCAAACAGGTAAAAGGTGAGGTAGCCAAAAAGACTCGGTTGGGGTAACCACTTGTGATCAAACTTTTTGAACTTCTCAATCAATAAATCAAAGCCACTCCTCAGCGAGACTGACCTTCTTCTTGAGTTCATCTCCGAGCCCGAAAAAGCGCACAGAAGTGGAAGTGCCGCCAACTACTCGAGGAGCAAGATTGGTGACAGCGAAGCGGGAGGCAGGGCGGATGATGGAAAGGAACATGGTGTTTTTATTCTTTGTTTCCTGGTTGTGCGGTATTATGATACTCTTCTCTTTGTCTCTCGATCGTGCAGAACTCTTGATGGCTAGCTAGCTAGAATAGGCAATCACCTCGACTTGATGACAACAATGGTTGGGGTATCACAACAACAAGCGCAGGCGTCTTCCTTCGATCGAATGTCGGATTGGAACCCAAAGAAAGATATCGGGCAAGTGGCGTCACTCTCTCGGGGAGGCATCAATCTCTGGGACTGCTGGGTTCGTGACCCATGAGAACACGGGCTTCTCATCGATGAAGGTGCTGGAATGTGCCCAACTCCAGCTGACAGCTGCCTCGTCTCTTCCACGTCAATGCGATCAAAAAGGGGGTCAGCCAAGCACAAGCTAGCTAGAGAGCTCTAATACCTCTGGAAGATACACGAAGGGTAGAGCTTGACCCACTAGCTAGCTCGAAGCTGCCTTCTTTGGCCTCCTCTTTTCCCTTCTCACATCTGCAACTGCCCAATCTTGTCCGGGCATGAACATTTTGGCAACACAAGATTTCACCAACCGATCTACTAGAGATAGCTGAGAGGGTTATGCAAGTTCTACAGCATTATCATGATAGCATGTGTCTAGCTAGGTTTCACCTGTTACTATGGTGCAATTGATTGGGGATTCCCAACCGGAATGTTGGCTGAAAGAACATTGTAGAAGTGCCCATCATTTTGAAAGAGTACTGTTCCCAGCGCGTCTCGTATTTGGAAGAACCCGCAACCCTGATCCCCACACAACCCGTCTCCCAAGCTATCATTGATTTGGAACCTGTAGCTGCCCACTTGAAGGTTGAAGATGGTTCTGGAAACCAGTCGACCGGCATTGTTTTCCAAACCTTGTCCACTGGCGGCCACTTCTCCACTCTTTTCGTCCACCAAGGTCCAAGTAACCTCAGCGGGATAGGCATCGTAGAGAATATCAATGGTAAGAGCCAATAGTGGTGCCTCCATTTGGTTGCTGATAATAGTACCGTTGTTGCGCATGTCATTATTATTGTTGTCGTTGTCATTGTTTGTATCAAAGCAGGTTGCGGGTGGATTGTCCGACAGTTCACAAATCTGCAATTGGATCCAATCATAGGCGGCACTGACTCGGGCATTGACGCCATAGAGTCCAGGTCTAGCGCATCCCACACCCCAGCTCACAGTGCCAACTTGAACGCCACTCTCGTCTACGACGGGCCCGCCGCTGTCTCCTTGGCAGGAATCCTTTCCGCGAGCGCCCGAACAAAACTCGGTGGGCTCATCCACACCCACTCCAATAGTCGTGTAGGATTGAGCACATATATCATGTGGGATATAATCCAATTCGGCATATCGCATAATGGGCGAGTTACCACCATCTTCTCGGGTAGCTCCAAACCCCATCACCGCCAGCTTATCCCCAATGGTTGGATTGTGACTTTCCTTATTGGATGCCAGTGCCACCGGTTGCTTCCCTACCATGGCTTGATTGATTTTGACCACCATAAAGTCAAAAATTCCATCTTGCGGATTGTACGCGGGATGGACTCTTCGGTCCACGACCGTTCGTCTCGTTCCAAAGTACAAAATGGGAGAATCAAAGTAGACCGTGTTGGCATCGGGCATTGTTAATTGTCGGTCGCAATGCGCTGCCGTCAACAGAATATCTTCATAAATGAGCGAGGTCCCACACCCAACATCCCAGTACCCAAACCAATCAAAGCGAGCGCGATCAAATAACACGGGAGATCCGCCGATAATCTTGGTATTCCGAAGAAGATCATCGCCGTCATTGTCACCTCTTTTTTCGGCCTTTGTGGAGACCACTAACACAACCAACAACAAGACGGCACGGAATCTCCATAAGCTCTGTCCCTGAACGTATGATACTGATAATGGTCGTTTGGTTGTCATGGTGTCTTCTTTGTCTCTTTCTGGGATGGGTTGTCTTCTTTCGTTAGCCTGGTTTTAGTAAATGTGGGGATCTGTATCAAGATCCGCCAACGGAATTGAATTGGGGCGAAAGAAACAAAAAATGCGGCTTCAAGGGCGGTCGTGTGACTCCGAGCCTGTCCCGCGAGTTCAAAGCTTCTGTAGAGGAACGGTCTTCCACCAACAAGTGCGAACCTGGAACGAGAGCGAGCCCGGCCGGATGAGACCTAAATGGAAAGCCGTTAGGCTTGACATTTAGGTCGAAGCCGGCCGGGCGAGCTCTCGTGACAGGTGAGCACAGGAGGGGGAAGACCGTATCTTCTGGAACCATGTGACAATTTCACCTAAGTAATTTAACGGCCGTTAAGGTAGCTAACTGCACTTCCTAAGTAAGTAAAATGTGACCATTTACAAGTAACCAACTCCAGACCCGTGGCAAAATGGCAACCCCTAAGTAGGTAAATTGTGAGCATTTACACCTCACTTGCGACAAACCCAATCAGGACTGCCAAAACACGAACCATGGTAACTCATGCACCAGTCGAAGCAACAACAGCAACCAACCAACCAACCGACTGATGCATCAACCAACCAACCGAAAGGTCCAAGCCCTCGCGGCGTTTGAGCGAAGACTCTCATTTGTGGAAGAGACAAGCCCTCGCGGCGAGCGACAAGACTCATTGGTAGAAGGGACAAGCCCTCGCGGCGAGCGACAACAACAGCAACAACAACAACAAGGCGGCGAGCGACAACAACAGCAGCGACAACAACTGCAACAGCAGCAGCAACAACAACCCTCGCGGCGTTTGAGCGACACACGGACCACAACACAAGCGGCGGTATGGTAGTTGTTGTCATGCTGTGGTTGCCGGTGCTAGTAGTAACCGTGGTAAACAATGCTACGTTCCAGCTTTTCCATCCAAATTGGCAGTGATCGATCGAGTACTGAAATGTCTATAGTGAAAACAGTCGTGTTTGCTTGTCAACTTCAACCTGTCGTAGAATGAGTACTAGAACCTACACAACTCTTCCAAAATAATTGGAGCATGGTTCCGAGTTCATTGAGTGGATAAAGGCGCACACAAGCTCTGAAACATGGCGAATGCGATTGAATGAGAATCCGAAATCTTGGACGATGACATCGATGACGTAAGTCTACGTAACCCTTGAAGGCACGTTCTTTGATCTTGCAGACCATCCAAAAGCAAGCTGCTTCACAATCATCATTCAGCTGCTTTCCCAAAATCAAGTGCAACCTGTCAGCTGCTCTCATCAAAGACACACTTTCATCGGCACTTCGATCGTCTTGACTTGGCTTTTTGTTGCTCGCATCGCAAGGATTAAACAAACAAACAAAACAAACATGAAGATTGGATCTGTTACTTTCGTCCTCTTGGCCGGGTTCTCTCCTGCCTTGGGATTCAACAACTATTTGGATTCCGTGGGTGGGGGTGGAGCACCCAAGAAGGCATCGTTTGCTCCAGTTGGAAAGCCCATGGCTGTACCAAGTTCAGGAACAGGAGGCTACCTGGACAACATGGCTGGAGCCAGCGCTGCCACTCCTCCTCCCCCACCACCACCCCCGCCAGTGGCTCCCCCAGCTCCACCCGCTGCCCCCGCGGCTGCTGCTGCTGCCCCTGCTGCCAGCACGGCACCGACAGCTGGAGATTATCTGTCTTCGCTTCCCGTGGCGGCTGCTCCATCGGGTGGTGGAGTGCCTGGATACTTGGATGCATTGCCGCAATCAGCGGCTGTATCAGGAAGTGGCGTACAAGGATACCTGGATGCCATTGCCCCTGCCAGTGGTGGAGGATTTGCCCCCAAGCCTGCCTTTGCACCTCCTGCTGCTGCTGCCAGCGCGGCTCCTGCTGCTTCTGCCGATGGCGAAGAAACTTTGATTGCCCAAGAACCCGTCCTTACGGCCATTAATCAGCTGAATGACAACATGGTCAGGAATCAGGAACTAACAATCTCTGTTCTCGGTGATATCAGCAAATCCGTCAAGGCCCTTGCGGACAAGACAATATAAAAACGTCCAACGAGGAAGAAGAAGAGTCATGATGTATGTGGTGATTGGAGTAATCTCACAGTATTGTTTTTGTGTTTTGCCAAGAGGTAATGAGAAATATTGTTATGACTTGCGCGTTCTAACAAACAACAGCTGACAAGACGGCATTATTTGTGGTGCATGCAAAGCCTTGCACATTGCCATTAGACTAGCCCAAATAACCAATTTAAAAAGAAAAAACGTCGCTGTTCAACTTTTGCTCTCTGAATCTTTCGTTCCACATGATCCTCCAAAGCAACCTCTGCATGCTGCTGCTGTCCTCCCATGGCGCTCGTACTAGTGGGAGCACTGGCAGGTGCTGCCGCAAATGGATCGCCACCAAAGGGATGCCATCGTATTGTGATAAGATGATGGCTGATCAAGGGTAAACAGGAAGGGAATCCTTCGTGTGTTCTGTCTAGTACGGTAGCTAGTGCGATTCGAATGATTCGATTCTTTCATCGCCAGAACGACTTCCCTGCACTACCTGTAGCCAACTGTTCAACGAGTTTCATTTTGATGGAAGAACAATGCCCATGCCAAGACCATCTTGCTTGATATGGCTGAAATGGCAGATTGTGTTCCTCAGAAACCCTGAAGATTCTATGAAACATCATGATAACGTCACAGTGCTGATGAAGCCAGACAAGCTATGCGGCAAGGATTGATGATTACTTCGACTAAATAGCAAATGGATTAAGTAATGTGTGCTTCCTTTGGTTTGTCTGGTACCTCCTATAACCTTTCCTAGCTAGATGCATTACATTACCAAGCCGTTGAAAACCTTGGAGATGCAGGACAAAGCGATATATATGTGAGCGGCATTCTGCCTCAATGGTGGCCTTTGTCATGTGCGTGACAAACCATCAATTTCCTGGACTTACCTTGGGACCACCTTCTTCCGCTTCAATGATTTCTAGAACCTTATTGCTGGCTTTGGGATCACTGATAGCTGCTACACACACATCTGCCACCAGATCTCTCGATATTTCTCCCGAATTCAAGCTATCTTCCTTGGAAATGATGAGTCCGCCACTAGGAGGTTTGGCCTTTAGTCCACCGGGACGAACAATGGTGTAGTCCAGACCAGACTTTCGGAGGTAATTTTCGGCAATAATTTTCTCGTCCAAGACACCTCCAAAGGCGTTGGTGATTTGGAATCCAGGAGAGCTTTCTTGTCCCCAGTTGCGTCCATTGGTAAGGATGGAGGAGACCATGACAACCTTCTTTACTCCCGCTTTCTTGGCCGCATCGACCAACGCAATAGTTCCCAAGTTGTCCACGGCATGAGCCGCATCCTTCATTTTCAAAGGATTTCCCGGGATGAATCCGGTGGCAATCACCAAGGAATCGGCTCCGTCCATGGCCGACGCCAATTCATCGACCGAATCCTTGACGACATCCATGTGCTTGAGTTCTACAGCCGACGTGTCGACCGATGCGACCTTTTGAACCATGGCTCCACGAATGACAGTGGAATCCTTTTGCAAGGCTGCAGTGGCCTTGTCCACACTGCGCACTCCTCCAACCACGGACAGTCCTGACGTGCCAGCAAGACGTTCCAGGATGCGTCTTCCAGTCTGACCAGTGGCTCCAGCTACCACCACCTTGCTCGAGTCAGCGGCATTGGCAGGGAGAATGTTAAAGCCCGAAACGGAGACTCCAATAGTGGCAGCAGCCGCGGCTTGGAAAAGGCTTCGTCGGTCCAAATAATTGGCACCTTCAGCATTGTCCGTGTGGGCTGCTTTCAAAGCGGTTGTACCGGTAGTGGCTTGGGTAGCGGGGCCAACCACCGAAAAGGCGGTTGCCTCGGCAAACAAAAGAGTCAAAACGATACTAACGACCTTCATCTTGCTTCCAAAAATAATAGATTGTGTCAGTCAGTCAGAGGGAAGTGGTAATCAGCAGCAACCCAATCGATGATATCGATACAGGGGAGATCTTTCTCAGCATTGTTGGCCGTGTCAGAGCGATGGATCGTCGAAAAGATCCATCGCTGACGTCATTAATGCTAACCCTGTACCGGTACCGAAATTTCGTCTCCTGGAGACGATTTGCTTTAGGGGTAATGGTACCGATGGGGGCAGAGGTTTGAATTATACCCGGCGCGCATTACTTAGAAGGCCCTGTAGAAGTCTACGTATTCGACTAG